GGGTGACGGGCCGTGGCCGGAGGCCCTGCCCCCTGGCCGCCGCCTCAGAAGTGCCATCCTGCCCTCTTGCAGCTACCTGACCGACGTGGACCGAATCGCCACCACGGGCTACCTGCCCACCCAGCAGGATGTGCTGCGGGTCCGTGTGCCCACCACAGGCATCATCGAGTACCCCTTTGACCTGGAAAACATCATCTTCAGGTACCCACGCCCCGGCCTTTCAGGCCAGCCTGGGGCCCCCTCCATCCCGGTGACCCTGAGGGACGATGGGGTCGGCAGCAAAGGGCTTGGCGGACCCCGTCTCGCCTTTAGGGATCTTCTGACCGGGGCCGGGGCTCGTAAATAACTGCCTGGGTTCAGAATGAGGCACTCTCCTGTGGCGAGGTGGCCGTGACGGGGCACGGCCACCGTGGGCAGCAGGAAGGACGTGGCGCATCCGGGCGGGGACACGGGCACGCGCCCTGCCAGGCTGGTGCTTCCTGGGCCTCTCGGCTGCGGGCCGGCGGTGCCTTGGGCGCACTGGCAGCGTGAGCCCCCCGTGCCCGTCAGGGCTGTCCTCGCCGAGCCGTCGCACACCCCAGGTTCTGCTGCGGCCCAGTCCTTGGTGTCCCCTGGGCCTGCAGAGGGGTCACCCCAGGCTCTGGCCGCGAGCACGCGACTCCGTGTCTGAGTGTCCCTCTTCTGGCCAGAACACCGGGCGTCAGGTTAGGTCCTCTGCTCTGGCATCCGCTCCTCAGTCCCATCTCCAGAGACCCTCTCCCCAGGCCCCAGGTGGAGGGGTCCGGGGGGACACTTCCAGTCCATACAGTGGTCCCCTTGTCCACCGTACTCAGAGAAGGCAGGCCAGAGCTCCTGGCAGCCCCCCGCTGGGGCTCAGGCGGACCAAAGGGGTGTGGTTGCCCTTCCGTGGGAGGTGAGCCTGGCTCTGGGGTGCCGTGGGGCCCTCGTTCCAGCCCAGCTGCTCCAGGAGGTGACGTACTCCAGAAAGGCAGTGGTCCAGGGGCCCTGGCACTGGCTGGCATCCCAGGCCGGCTGCCACTGGCCTCTGAACACAGACCCCCCGTCCCCGCCCGCGCCCCGTGTCACCTGGCACATGCGGCGTCTGCGCTGTGGAATCGGCCCGCCACGCCCGTGCATTGTCCAGCGCGCCGTGGCGGCCCGGGGCCAGCGGGGCTCAGGTGGTGGCAGGAGGCCTCCTCCCTCCTCGTCCTGTTGTGAGGATGGTGTTCTCCGTTCTGCTTGGGGATCCCAAGCAGCAGGAGGCCCTGTGGCAGCAGCTGACCGTGTGGTGTGGCTCAGGGCGCTGTCGTAGTCGCCTCCCCCCCCCCTGCCCTGGGGTCTGCTCGGTCCGTCGCTGCCTGAGCCTCACGGCTGGGCACTTAGTACCTCAGGCAGCTTCCGGGAGGACCTGGCTCAGGGTCTCGAACGAGATTCCGGTCACGCTGACTGGGGGCTGCCTCGTTGGAGGTCTGCGGGTGACCGGAGGGGCTTGCACGATGGTGCCCTCAGCCGGCGGTTGGCAGGGGCCTCGACACCCCGCTATGTGGCCCCTCTCCCCTCGCGGTCCTGCTTGCGTGTCATCCCAGCACGGCGCGCGCCATCCCCGCGGGAGCGAGGAGGAAGGCTTAACATCGGAGGGCCCTGTGCCGAGTCTGCACCCCTGTTCCTTCAGGATGGTGGACGTGGGTGGGCAGAGGTCAGAGCGGAGGAAATGGATCCACTGCTTCGAGAACGTGACTTCCATCATGTTCCTTGTGGCTCTCAGTGAGTACGACCAGGTCCTGGTGGAGTCGGACAATGAGGTGAGGCCGCCTGGCGGGGCCCCGGGGGCGCGGGGGCGGCGTGCCCTGGGCTGGCCCTCTGAACCTGGAGTCCTGCTCTGCGCAGAACCGCATGGAGGAGAGCAAGGCCCTCTTCCGGACCATCATCACCTACCCCTGGTTCCAGAACTCCTCCGTCATCCTCTTCCTCAACAAGAAGGACTTGCTGGAGGACAAAATCCTTTACTCCCACCTGGTGGACTACTTCCCAGAGTTTGACGGTGAGCACCACTCCACTTGCCTGCCTCTCGGCCCCTCAGGGCTCCTTCCGGGCTCCTGGCCCAGCCCCAGAAGCGCACAGGGCCTGGAGCTCACGCCTCCCTGGGGCTCGCCCTGGCCTCCCTGGGGCAGCCTCACTCCGTCAGAACTCGGGCAGCTCAGGGCAGCTCAGCCCGCTCTGCGGCTGGCCCAGCTGTCTGCCCGTCTGCCCCACGCCCCCCAGGCACTTCGGGGCCTTCAGAGCTCAGCCGGCGTGTGTGCTGTGCGGGCTGGTCCGAGGGAGGGGAGCCATGGGCGGGCACGGCCCCCGGGGCAGGAGCGAGCGCTGGCCCGCCCGCCCGCGGGGCCCTTGGGGTGCATGTGCGCGCCCCGTGTGCGGCGGGCCCACGGAGGGGTGTGTGTGCCTGTTGGATGTGAGTATGTGTGGGGAGACGTGTGCGTGGTTGGGGGAGGTGGGGCAGGAAGGAGGCGGGCCTGGGGTTGCAGCAGGTGGGGGCCTCCAGCTGGCCTCGGGCGGTCCCGGGCCGCCACCACCCGCCTCACTCCCGCCCTCCCCAGGGCCCCAGCGGGACGCGCAGGCGGCCAGGGAGTTCATCCTGAAGATGTTCGTGGACCTGAACCCCGACAGCGACAAGATCATCTACTCCCACTTCACCTGTGCCACCGACACGGAGAACATCCGCTTCGTCTTCGCGGCCGTCAAGGACACCATCCTGCAGCTCAACCTGAAGGAGTACAACCTGGTGTGACGCGGCCGAGGCGCAGGACCCGCCCTGGGCGCGCCCCTGTCCGCGGCGCTGCGGGTCGCCGGGGGCCTCCCGCCACCACGGAGGCCGCGTCTTTCTTTCGTGTTCTCAGCCAGCGGCCCTTACTGCACACTCACCAGGGGATGGACACCTTTCTTTCTGCACTTTGTTGCCTGCCCGCCTTTTGTCCCTGGCAAAGGCCGCTTTTTTCTGGCCTTGACTGTGGCTCGCTTTTTTCTACAAAAAAAAAAAAGGAAAAAAAAGAAAAGGAAACAAGTAGAGATGAGACCCCGCGCCTCGCGACTCCAGACCTCATCAGCCCCAGGCCTCGCCCCGGGCCGCGTCCTGCCACAGAGCCCGCCCTGCCCGGACACACGCGGTCACTCTCCTCCCGCCGCCGCTTCGCCATGGACGGCGTGGGGGCGTGGAATTGTGACTTCTTGTCCCTTTTTTTAAGTTATTGACGTCCTCGCGACTTGCCCTCTGTTTTTGCTCACTGGACTCCAAGAAGTGGGGGTGGGTGGCGCCCCCTGTTGCCCGCTCTGGAAGTGCCTAACCTTCTTCTTTGTTTGTTTTTAATTTGGGGGAGGAAAACAAAATCAAGAAACAACGTGTCCCCGGCGCCCAGAGGCCAAATCCCGTCTCCAGCCCGGGGCGAGAGGGTCTGTGCTGGGTCTTTGGCGAGTCTTGGGGCTCAGGGTTCTCGGGGCTGTCTCTAGGCCAGTCTGGCTGTCTTCAAGTGTTCTGGGGCTCTCAAGGTCTCGTCCCCAACACCCCACACCCCTAAGGGCTGCCATCCAGGCACAGCCCAGGGCCGCGTGCCCACCCGCCCAGCTCAGAGTACCCGACGGGGAGGCCAGGGTGGCGGTACCCCTCTGCTTCATTTGGGCGTCACCTCGCTTCTGACAGTGAGGGTGCATGGGGACCTTTTCAGAATATTCTCAGGTGTGTCCCCGAGAGGCAGTGGGAGGGGGCGCTGGTGGCTCGGCACGGGGCTCCCTGCGTGGCCTCTGCGCAGTGGGGGCTCCGCTTCTCCCCAGCCGGCGCCGAGGCCACGAGCTGCTGCCCCGCAGGCCAGGCAGCCTGTGCACTTTCCCAGCGCCCCGGGGCAGCGAGGTCCCCCCAGGCAGCCTCTGGGTCTGGCCACGGCCACGGCCACGCACTGAGCCGGAGCCCAGAGGCCCCTCGCCCCGCCGCCCTCTCCCAGAGGTTTTCTGAGGGCGGAAACGGGGGTTGGGGAAGAGTGGGCGACTTCATCTGATGTAGACAACACTACAGTGTGGATGGCACTACAATTTCGTGTTGATTTGTGGGTTTCGTTTTGTTTTTTGCACACACGTGGTGAGAATGGACTGCCAGCGATGCCTTGGACACAGCCCCTCTGGGCCCCAGGCGGGAGCCGTCTCGGTGGCTGCTGCTCTTGGGTCCCTCACAAGTATAAAAGAACAATGGAAAAACCAGACCAACCCAAATGGCCAGTGTGTGCCTGGGCCCCCTTCCTCTGCGCCTCCCCGGGCTTCCCGACAGGCGTGGGTGACCCGCTGGCTCCTGGGGGCTGGGGGCCGCTGCGCGAGGGGCTGCCGCATTCCTGAGCGGGGCTGGCCCGGGGCTGGCGCTGCCTCACAGTGGCCTGTGCCGGGGGGGCGCCCGACTGGCTTCCTGGGCCTCGTTTACTTGGCCAGTTTTGGGCTTTGGCCGCTGCGCGAGGGGCTGGAAGCCGCTTGTCCTGGCCGTGGAGGCGCGGCCCTCGCGGTGGGCGGGACGGT